AACCATAAAAATGCCTTTCTGGTGAATGACAAATCTACTTTTAAAATCACCCTTACCCAATTTAATAATAAGTAAAAGAGCACAGAAGTCTATAATCTTTTTTTCAGAGTTTTACATGTTGTTTTACTCAGGGTTATATGAAAAGCACTCCATATATATATACACTATGTGTATATATATATATATATAGCATATATATATATATATACACACACTGTGAAATAAAGTATTTTGCATAAATTGTAGATGTCCAAGGAGTTTTCAAAAATACAAGACAATGAATGTGCTTCTCACCCATGTTTTCCTTCTGCACACCTTCAAATATTCAAATGAAGGAAATCTACATATGCTTTTCTGAATGTTGCAATTAATTTTAAAAATTAAAATTTATAAATGAATTAGGGTTAAAATACCTTGTGAATTCACTTCAGTGAGATGAGTTAAAGTTTACTTATGTATATGCATGCACATGGTGCGAGTTTGTGAGAATTTTTTTTTAAGTTAAACAGATGTTCACTTTATTTGCCTTCACAGTGTTGTCTGGATAAGAGCACTGAAGTTGTTCCAGTATATGGTCATATTTTCTCTCTTTTTGGCAGCCATCAAATTGCTTTAACTCTATTCAAGCTCAAATGAGTAGTGCAATAGGAGGTGTGAAACCATGTTTTCATACTAAATTATTTCATAATGTGATTAAATGAAGGTCTCCAGAAAAGAAATTGTCTTGTCTTCTCTTACAGTTCTCTTCCCCAGCCCTTGCTTTTAGCCTCTGGAAATGATCTCTCACTGCACTGTTGGATTTAGTAATTGGGAGCATAAGAAAGGCCCTCCAGAATCAACCCACTGGTTTGTGTTTATCCTCATATGCTCTCTCTGACGATTTCAGTATCAAGTTCTACAAAGGTAGCATAATTTCTTTTTGGGATAAATTTTGATACAAGTTTTAACAACAAGGGACAGGATTCAAGACAGTGTTAAACACACACTGCTTCTGAAAGTAATCAATTTTTTTCCTTTAAAAAAAACTGCATATTCTCTCAAATATGTATGTTCTACCAAATCTTAATAGGGATAAAGAGAAGATACCTCTCCAGATTTTTCTGTTCTTTTACAGTACCTTTTTGGTAACAATGTCCCTATTTCTGTAACTTTTCCTGCTGAAGATACTTGGACACACATTAACTATTGTAACTCTGTTCATATTTTCTAACTTGAAAATAGCAACTCCAAATGAGGCTGTGTTCACCTCCTCAGCACAGTCTCTCACTTTCCATTGCTAGGCATCCATTTTTGTTTCTTGCAGCTTTGTCTCTTGTATTCTTCTCTAATGCACTGTTCTTTTTCCCTTTCTCAGTAGCATCAATAGATGACTGGATTTAACATTTTGAACATGGCTTACTTTTAAAACACACAAATAGAGATATGCAAAGACAAGAAATGCTGTATAGCAGAATAATTAGTTCGCAGAAATCCTTTATAATAACTGGGGGGAAAAAAAAGGATAAATTTAAAGATTACAGTATCTCACTGGCATAGTAGATGTCACATGGTTATGCTTCAACTCACTTCCACTAAATACCACTTTCTCTATGACATATTGTTTTCTCTTTCTGTTCTCTTACTTGTGTATACACATGGTCCTTAACCCAATTTGAAAATCTCAAGAATGAATAATATAATGATAGAATCATTAAGGTCGGAAAAGACCTCTAGGATCATCTTGTCCAACCACCAGCACAGCACCACCATGCAAACTAAACCACGTCCCAGAGCAACACATCTACATGTTTCTTGAACGCCTCCAAGGATGGTGACTCCACCACCTCTCCGGGCAGCCTGTTCCAATGCTTCATCACTTTATCCTGAGAAGAAACGTTTCCAAATATCCAACCTGGACCTCCCATGGTGCGACTTAAGGACATTACCTCTCGTCCTGTCACTGTTACCCAGGAGAAGAGGCCAATTCTCCACCTCGCTACAATCTCCTTTCAGGCAGTTGTAGAGAGTGATAACATTTCCCCTGAGCATCCTCTTTTCCAGACTAAACAATACCAGCTCCCTCAGCTACTCCTCATAAAACTTCAGGACAGAATTACAAAATCAAAAGGCACCATTTATATTTTTATTACAATTTTCAAAACTTTTCTTGTATTGTTGACAGCAAACTAAACTGTTGCACTCACTATATCACTGGCAACCTCCTAGTCCCACAATAAATCTGAATTACAAAGTAGACTTCAGGAGTACTTTAGTTTTTTTTCAGCCCGCTGTCATAACATCGTCAAAGATTATTTGCTACCTCAGGCACAGTCATGCAAATAGACTGCCAATTTTCATTCATGTGACTCCAGAATTTGCTAAGGACTCTATTTTTTGGAGCATTCGCTGCCAGCAATTAAACCCACAATGCTGCCCAGAAACATTCTGCATCAGTGCAGTATGAGTGGGTGGACTGCCTTCAAGTACTTTGTTATGGGCAAACAACACCAAATTTTGGCATGAACAGCTGTGACAGCATTGGAACAGTCACAAAAAATTAAAAAAAATAAAATTGTTCAGTTTCTGCAACATCTTTCAATAGTCAAAGTGGATGGCTGCTTAGATTTAGTACTATACCTGTTGCTTGCTCCATTTCTTAGATACCTATTTAATTGTGGAAGCCCACAGGTAGTCCAGCCTTTATGATTTGTCAACTACTGTGCATCATGGCAGAAAGTTGTTTGTCAAAGCTTTCAGAGACTACATGGACAACTGCAATCACATTTTTGAAAAGGTGCTGCAACAGAATGATTGCAAAGCTTTGAAGCAATGCAGTCATTAATTTTGAGAACAGTGGCAGCATCTACAAATACACATACACTTCTACACTGCAAAATGCGATGCTGATCTATGCAAATGAAGGTTGAGAAGGTTCTTCCTAAGAGAACTGAGAGAAGTCCAGGAAAATATGCTTTGATGTTGTCCACGTGACACTGTGAGGGACTGAAAATGTCAAAGGTATTTCTTCTGAATATAAAAGATAAAGCAGCTCTGACTTGGACTATTAAAACAGTCAGAGAGATTTTAAGAAGTTTTTGCACATAGCATTACCTTTTAATTTTCTTAGGAGCTGAGGAAAAGTGAAATAAAGAAAAATGAAATTAAACTGCAATGGTTTGTCAGTGTGATTAAGATTACACATTTCTCCCTATCTTTTTTCATAGGCCTCACATGTGAAAGGAAGACACCACCTTGATGTTGTAGCATTAAAAATATGATTTTTCATAGTTGGAAGATTCCTATAAGCAATGCATTTGATTCACATTTTAGTAGTTTCTGTGATAACACTTTGACATAAATTTAAAGTACAGGTTAGCTCTTGATTTGCAAGGCATTTTTCTGTGGTGACTTTTTAAAATTAGGTGTGACAAATGTAGCGAGGCAGTAGGAAAAGGAACCAGGCTAACTGTTACGAGGACTAAGGTTAGTGAAGTAAAGTATAAAATTTGTGCTGTCACGATAGCTTTCAACTGGACTACTATATATCAGTGAATATTAAGATGCTATAATTATGAAATAAACAAGAGTTAGGCAAAGCAGACTATGATAACAAAAGAGAGCAAATAGAAAGCTTACCCCTGTCCCAGGCTCACTCACAAAACTCCAGCATAGCAGATCTCCAGACGAGATCCTTCCCCCCTGGTAGCCAGCTCTTAAATAGGTCTAGGAGAGGTGCAGCCTGGCTCCACCCCTTCCGGCAGCACAGTGAATTGCCTTCACCTGTGCTCCTCTGGCTCACTCATGGCTCACCTCAGGTGATCAATCAGAGGTTCAGGCCGTGACTCAGCAGCTCCCATACAACTGCCAATAGTCCCTATTTTTACTATGACAAATCAATTTTTTATTTTTTTATTGGAATTTGATTATTGACTCACATATCTACTTATGTCAAGTTGCACTTTGTGAAAGTAACTCAACAATAGCTGTAAGCAGGAAAAGTGATTATTCATAATACTCAAAAACAAATACTTACCAGTTCTGCTGTTTCCTACATTATTAGTAGACTGAACATTCCCAATCCTAGGCATTTCACACTATTACTATTGACCTGCCCACAAGATCTTGGCTAAGATCACAGCACAATACCTTAGTTCAGAACTCCCCTGATGATCTCTAGCAAAAGCCTGAAAGCACTTTTACTGAAATACTTCATCAACAGTACTTCCTGAATCATTCTATAAATCTTGAGGGAATTAGGTCATTGCAAAGTAAAGTAACTGACATCACCATGAAGAAAACATTCCCCTGTACGCAAGCTCCCACATAAAACTATCTAGTGACTTCTAGTCACTTTAATTTCATGAGACCAAATAAGAAAGATAAATTAGCCAATGTATACCCTGGTACTAAATGAAAACACAACACCATATCAGCACAAATAAAAATCTAGTAAGTGGTACAACAGATGATCTCTCCCATGAGGGATATATATGAGCTAGGAAAATATAAATGCTTTTAACAAGGGCTAAGCATAAGGGTCGCTTTCCCATTTATTGCTTCCTCATCACTGAGATCTTGCCAAGAATCAGGATATACTGAGGAAGATTTCTTCTTGTGATGGAGATGGCTGCACACTGGTGTTATGAAACTACTGATCTATTTCTTGACATGTACAACTTTTTTCAGAAGAACGACTTTGCTTACTTTTGTGCTGAGACTCTTTTCCAAATTCTTACATCTCACAGAGATATTCTGTCTATCACTCAAAAGAAAAGCCATACCAGTTGAGAAGTGAGCCTAATTTTTGTCTCTCCATCCCCTCACTTTGCAGAGCCAAGGGGCCAACAGCCATCTGCCTCAGTCTTTAGGAAATAGAGTTGGTAGGAAGACAGCTGTATAATCAAAGGATATTAAGATGTATAATTGTATAATCAATGAAGGTTAAGATGTTATAATCCCAAAAAAGAACAAGATAGGCAAAGTAGACTAAGATAACAAGAGAGAATAAATGGAGAACTTACCCATATGCTCACCCACAAAAAACACCAGAAGAGGGAATCTCCAAACAAGATCCTTCCCCTCTGGTAGCCAGCTCTTAAATAGGTCTAGGAGAGGTGCAGCCTGGCTCCACCCCTTCCAGCAGCACAGTGAATTGCCTTCACCTGTGCTCCTCTGGCTGACTCATGGCTCACCTCAGGTGATCAATCAGAGGTTCAGGCCGTGACTCAGCAGCTCCCATACAACAGCAAAGAATGAGCCACGACTGGCTAAGTGGGTTGCACATCATGCCTCCCCCCCTCCTTATTATCAGTGTCTTATCACAGAACTAACACATTGCCAATAGATTTAATCACTGCTATGTTATCACAGCTGACCTCCACGTTACTTCCAACCTCTGGCCATGTAAATGCAAGAAGACTGACCTAATGTCAGAGATTCTCCCGTCATACTTTTTAAAATTGAAATAAGGAAACATTAAGTATCAAGCTAACTTCCTATTGCCTGCACAAACACTACCATTCAGGGTACCTAATATGGAGTAATACCACTATTTGTAGTCACAGCTCCCAGTTCTATGATAACTGCAAATGTCACATAAAATCCCCAAGCAGGACTGCACTAAGAACTCACAGATTTAGAACATTTAGAACTGACCATCTACTTTTGTTTGTTTTCTGGACATGAATATTAAATTCAAGCACAACTACTTACACCTTTATTTTTGGTACCTCTAGAACATTCACCATCATAGTCTGTGTAACAACTATATTTAGATCCTAATTTCTGCAACAGAAATTGATTTTTAACTATATATAAAGGAAAAATTTTGTTTTCCGTATGTTATTTTTATTTGATGCAGCTAACTAATTACACCTCACATGGGTTTGATATGGGTATTTTCAGATTCCCTTGTTCTATTGCCAGGCATTAAATAGATGCATAATTAAATAAAGTAACAGATGTAATTTTTATCATAAATTTTAACAAACAGAATAATGTGAATAGTAAATTTCTTTAAAAAAAGGAACACATTCCTGTCCAATTATTAGGCATTTAGGCCTCCAAAATCTAAAGCATATGCACAGAAGAAGCTTGAAACCTGACCAGAAATATATATTGAAACATTTTTATAAAATGTTGTAGCTGAAGAATTAATTACTTTTGAAGATCCAATATGCTATTTTGAACATGTGGTTTTGGAAGAAACTTTGGTTCCAATTCTCGGTTGTTGAAAAATGTTTGAAGATGAAAAATTTAAAGCATTGAATGTCAAGAAAGAAGATCAATAAAAGTCTCCTGAAACGTGATTCTCTTCCAAGCTTCCGGTTTTTAAGCTATATAGTGATTACTTCTAACCCAAACAATGTTTTCTGATGTTGGTATGTTCTGATGTTGTACATGTTGGTATTATAACAACATGAATCAGGATCACTGGCAAGATATCAAGATTTTTTTCCAAGGCCCAGTCACACACAGGGATCAGAACGACAGAACGATCCATATGGCAAGAAGTCAGTATTCAGCAGTCATTCTTAGCAGAATTTTGTTGCCTAGGAATCCACGAGAAGAGGGTTCTACTACTTAATTTTACATATGCATTGAGTCCATACCTCAACAGTTTGCATAAATTTAAGGAAAAACAATTTTTTCAGCACATTCATAGATCAAATATCTGAGAATTTGATAGAAAGTGCTGTAAGCTCTGAAAAATTGTAAAATGTGTGATTAACAACCACACTGGTGTTTCAGGATCCAAATTTGATTCCTGCTTACCCAGGACATCATTGCTGTACATATATATCCCTTGCATTTTTCTTCTAAATTGGCCAGCTACACTATTTTCTCTCAAATTCTCTGTTTTGTACAAAGAATGTCATTTGTATCAGCACAATCTTACACACGTGAATTTTTTCTGTTCAACGCACAAAACAAAAATTCCTTTGCAATGAATCAAATGCAAAGTTATTTTTTATCAAAAGCTATGCTTAGTCATTTCTTTCCACTTTCAGACTCAACATAAATGCAAAGTGAAGTGCACCCAGAATAGCAAGCCTTAGCTCCAGGATCTTGCACACTCATTCTGAAATAAGTATCAATTTTGTATTTCTTAGTAGCAAACACATAAAAAATCTCCAATTTCCTTAATATTATGTTTATGTATATGTAAGAGCTGCTCCAAATGTGATTTATTATTTTATTACATTGACCCATGATGTCAAAGGCAGATATTGGTGGTATGGCAGTAGAGATTGAACCTTCCCACCAATATTCCATTACATTTCATCGCGATGTGACAGATGGCCGCAGAAGGGCAGTCTCACAATACGGTGTGTCTGAAGCAAAGGTGTGGAATTGAATTCCTCCATGCAGAAAAGATTATACTCACTGACATTTGTCACATTTTTGCTGAATGTTTCCAGAGACCAAGCAGTGGACATGAGCTCAGTGCAGCAGAGAATAGTGTGTTTCAGCAGTGGTGACACAGTGACAGCGGGTCATCTCTACTGGTGGAGATTTTTTACGAGCATGGCATGCAGGCTTTTGTCCATCACTGGCAAAAATGTACAGCTAATGGTGATGGCTCTGTTGAAAAATAGTGTTTTGTAGCTGAGATCTTTTCTTCTTTTATATCAACAAACAAAATTCTGATCATTCTGGCAGTGAAAGCTGACAGTATGAAAGTTTAGTCCAGTAGATAAAACCAGGTTGGCTATGCAATTTTTTTAATCAAAAGCAAGTACTCAAGAAAGAGAAAATGCCTCTCAGGTAACATAAAAATAGACAGCATAACATACTGACTGCAAACTGGAATAGATTCTTGTTCTATTCTTTTTTCACATCGATATATAATAAGATTTTTGAAAAGAAAAAACAAATCACTATCGCATTCTGGCAAAAACTTTATCAAAGACTTAGTGCACAATTTATAAGCAGTTTAGCATCCCAATCCATACATCTAGAGCCAGATATACATAGCAGCAAAGTTATTGCAAATGAAACTCATTCAAAGTTAATTAAGGCTTCTCTACACATGGAAACGTTCCTGATTAATTCCATATGGGGCTATTCTGATGAGAGAAGTGCCTCATTCCATTTTAGTTAAAAACAAGCTGGCTTGTTCTGGAATGATAATGCCTATACATGAACTTAATCAGAATAATTTGTAGACTATTTTAATTATTTGTGAGCAAACAGGACTAAAAAAAATTAGAGTTAATTTGTAGACTTTAATTCACAACAAGTTTTGTGCTTGCCTAAAGGTGTGATTTTACGAATCAATTTGTAAGAGTGGTATCTTAAACTAAACATCTTATTAAAAAAAATTAATTGGTAACAAGTGATATTTCATCATTATCCAGTGGGTATAATTAAAAAAAAAAAAGGAAATATACCGTATATATATAATATATATACTATATAATATATATTTTTTATATATATATATAAAATATACCGTATACGTTTCTGAAGATGGCTTCTAAGTTTCAGAAGTTGTGATGTGAGAGGACAGACACAACCACAAACAATCTAATCTTATTTCAAAGCCAAGACTGTTTGTTTCTTAGCCCACGGTGACTGCATGATAAAGACTACATCACAAGATGGCACACAGGACTAGAACTTCTCTGTTTTTCTGTTTTGTGAAACAAAGAAGCTTCTATGCAAGTCTATACCCTGGCTCAGAATGTCATCAGGCATATCACCTTGGCTTTGTCCTGACACAAAGGATGGAGTGATATGCCTCATAGTGTTGAAATGGAAGGGGACAACAACAAGAAGAAAATGCCCATAACAGAAGTTTTCCAGGAAGGGTCTCAGAGGAGGTTAGGCCACAAGACTGGCATTGCTGATAACATAATAATAAAACCACCTAGCATTTTTGGCATAATTTATGTCTAGACTGGCAATACTTTTCTAAGACTGATACATAGCCTGTTATCAGTACCTGCCATTCCTGTTCTGTTTCCTTTGACTCCAACATTTTTGAATGGTTGAAAAATAACAACGTTGGCTGTTTGTTCAGATGACTCATCACCAAATGGTATCGTGATCCTGTGTGGAGAAAAAATATGTATGTACATAAAAATACATACACTTTGATTTTATACAGCCCTACACACATCACCTCTGTGAAATATACTGCAATGATAATTCCTTATGTAGTGAGTATCCTATAGATTTTTAATTCATGGTTTAAATATATGATTTTCACCTACTAGATTTAAAAAAATTGTTAAGGATTTGAAAAATTGTCTCTTTCTACAATCAAATGATGAGTGGGGGAGTTGCAGGCAGTTAATGACTTCAGGTTTAGTGACTACCAGCTCTGCAACAAACAAAAAGTAGTATCCCTTTCTTATATTATAAAAGTTGTATAATCAGAACTATCTGAATGTATTCGTTGGCTCCCTTTGGCAAAAGCATGCTCAAGCCCTTGTCCTTAGTAAAGAATTCTAGCTGTTTTAGGAAATATGCTTAAATACTAAGTTTGCAAAAGATTTTGCAGAATTTACTCACACAACAAAAAATTTTGCTATAGATATACTTGCTATACTGACTGCAACTTTTTCTGAGGGCAGCGTATACATTTCAGCTGGAAGTTCTAGTACAAATGCAGTTATACTGAACAACTTAATTGGTTAACACACGTTATTTCTCTTCTAGTGTAACACTGCTCACTTAAGAAAATGGGTCTTCCATCCCTTTTGTCATGTAGACAGCAGCCAACAGCACAAGGGTAGCTTTACCAGCAAGACTTTTAAACTGCAGACAGTCATATGCAAATAATCCCCAACCATTTACTACAGCTCTGTAAAAAGTCCGTAGTTATTGATTCAAATAGCTGTAAAAGAGCCACTCGATGGGCGTCTAACCCTTCAATGACCAATGCCAATAACCATACTACAGTTGACTGTTTCTTTGTGTAAGAAAGAAGACGAACAAGAAAAGCGGTGTTTATTGTAAATATGTCATCCCCCTACCGAGCTCAGTAGGTGCTAAATATCATTTATTGTCCTCTTCTTTTTCATTTCATTCGGGAAGAGGTGAAACTAATGGCA